AATGGGACTGAATTTTTGTCATCTGTAGTCCAAGAGGCTCTCTCATCCTACGGTATTCATCATCAATTATCATGCACTTACACCCCACAGCAAAATGGACGCGTTGAACGTCGTCATCGTCACATCCTCAACGTGGCTCGTGCTTTGCGTTTTGATGGTCACTTACCTATATCTCTTTGGGGAGAATGCATCTTGACCGCTGCTCACCTCATCAACAGGACACCGACTCCACTCCTTGGTGGTCAGTGTCCCTATGAAGTTTTGCATGGCACTCCACCAAAGTATGATCACTTACGGGTCTTTGGGAGTTTATGTTACACTACTGTTTTACCCAAACCACATGACAAGTTCGCTCCTCGCTCCCGTAAGTGTGTGTTTGTTGGCTACCCTTTCAACAAAAAAGGATGGAAGGTCATGGATATCTCCACTCATGAAATATTTGTTTCTCGTGATGTTTTATTTCATGAAACTATTTTTCCATTGGCTGCAACTTCATCTGCACCTTCTGTCCATGTACCGTCACCACAAGCTGTCTTCACCGATTATGATGTGGCACCTGTTACTGCTATTGATACTCCCACAGCGGAGCTTGATGACAGGGGGAGTTCGTCCTCCCCAGTTCCGGGTTCTATTACTTCATCCACGGATGTCCCTGGTTCACCGGTTCCGTTGACAGAACCCAACACTGCATCTGTGGCAGATATTCGTGAACAGCGTGCCAGACGTCCCCCATCTCATTTAAAGGATTATGTATGCAACACAATGACTACACCCTTTCCTCGTCTCTCCACTTCTCCAATCGACTCAGGTATTCAATATTCCATTGATCATTATGTTTCTAATGCATTATTTTCTTCGCACCATCAGATTTTTCTTGCCGCCGTGGATAGTAACCTGGAACCCAAATCATTTAAAGAGGCTATGCAATATCCTCATTGGCAGAAAGCCATGCAAGCCGAAATTGATGCATTGGAAGCCAATCATACTTGGCAAATTCAACCTCTCCCTTCTGGTAAGAAAGCTATTCCATGTAAGTGGGTGTACCGCATCAAGTACAATTCTGATGGAACCATTGAACGCTATAAAGCGCGTCTGGTTATTGCTGGGAACAATCAGATCGAAGGAGAAGATTACACTGAGACTTTTGCACCGGTGGCTAAAATGACAAGTGTGCGTACATTTTTATCTGTAGCTGTAGCTCGAAAATGGAGCATTTTTCAGCTGGATGTTCAAAATGCCTTTCTCCATGGCGATTTGGATGAAGAAGTCTTTATGCGTTTTCCTCCCGGTTTCTCCCAAACCAAGTCTGGTCACGCCTGTAAGCTTCAACGTTCACTTTATGGTCTCAAGCAATCCCCACGAAATTGGTTTGCTAAGCTTCGTAGTTCTCTCCTCAGTTTCGGCTTTGTTCAGTCTCGTGCTGATTATACGTTGTTCACTTACTCGACTGGTTCCCATTATGTTGCTATACTTGTCTATGTAGATGATATTTTGTTGGCAGGTAGTGATCCTTCTCTCTGTGACCGTGTCAAAGCTCATTTACAAACCTGGTTTAAAATCAAAGATCTTGGTCCCCTCAAGTATTTTCTTGGCATTGAATTTGCTCGAAGCAAGACCGGTTTGTTTCTTACTCAACGCAAATTTGCTTTGGATATTCTTAAGGAATGTGGACTTCAAAGTTGTAAACCGGTTGCTTATCCTATGGATCCCAATCACAAGCTTGCTCTTGCTGAAGGACCTCCGTTTGATGATCCTAAACGTTATAGACGTATTGTTGGCCGTCTTGTATATCTCACGATTACACGACCAGAACTTAGTTATGCAGTTCACACACTTTCTCAGTTTTTGCAGCATCCTATGCAGATACATTACGATGCGGCTATTCGTGTTCTTCGGTACATTAAGTCCAATCCTGGCCAAGGACTCCTTCTTCGATCTGACAGTGATCTTCTTCTTCGTGCCTATTGTGATTCGGATTGGGCTAGTTGTCCCTTGACTCGAAAATCAGTCACTGGTTATTTTGTTACTCTTGGACATTCTCCTATTTCTTGGAAAACCAAGAAGCAAAACACAATATCCCGCTCCTCTGCTGAAGCTGAATACCGTGCCATGGCAGCTGCGACTTCTGAGCTTATTTGGTTAAAGTCTTTTCTCAGCTCTCTTGATATTCCTCATGCAGCCCCTATGCAACTGTTTTGTGACAGTCAGTCTGCTATTCATATTGCTTCTAATCCAGTGTTCCATGAGCGTACCAAGCATATCGAGTTAGATTGCCATTTTGTTCGGGACTATCTTCTCAGCAAGACTATTTCTACTCAACATATCCCCACTAGTTCTCAACCCGCAGATATTATGACCAAAGCACTTGGATCCAAACAATTCGATTTTTTGACTTCCAAGTTGGGCATCTCCTCCCTCCATGCTCCACCTTGAGGGGGAGTATTAGAGTAGCATTAATTTGTTAGGATCCTGATTGTAACTATCACGGTTTGTTACCTTGTATATTAAAATAGATTAGCTTGATTTATGCTTTCTGTTCCTTAGTTTTAGCTGATTTCCTGATGTAAATAGATTAGCTTGATTTATGCTTTCTGTTCCTTAAGTTTAGCTGATTTCCTGATGTAAATAGATTAGCTTGATTTATGCTTTCTGTTCCTTAAGTTTAGCTGATTTCCTGATGTAACCAATTGTAAATCTTGGTCTATATAATAGACCCAATTTAATATATCATCAAGCTGCGAATGACAGCAACTTCTGTTAATCTTTATATATTAATTAATGTAATTTATTTCCATTAAGTACATTTTAAATTGTTTAATTGATTTCAGTGACAAAAATCTAAAATTTTCCTATTAATCGAAAGAGAAATTAAATGATTTACTCCTTTGACTGGTACACTTTATTTCTTGAAGTATAAAAAATTTATTATCAATATTTTTTTTTATGAACCACATGTATCCTCCATTGAAGGCAATTCTATTTGGGACGAGTTCTGCATTAAGGTTTTAAACATCTTTCAAAAATAATACTGAAGAGAATCGAACACATACTCTCACTCCACCTGTTCAGTTCAAATACGTAAACTGAGCTAATTATCAATATTATTTTAACACTATGTTCGGAACCTTTTTAAGTTTAAAATTTTTTGAACTCCAACAATCAATTATTTTGTCCTATAATCGTTTATCTGAGGGTCTAGAAACTTAAATTTTAGAAATCGTGTCACTTCACTTATTCTAATTGGTCATTAACATGTTAAATGGATCATGACAGTATGACATAGTAAGATAAATTGTACATCAATTACCGATTGCCTGCTAATGGAGAATTTTAAATTTGAACCTAAATCATATAGTTAGTTTTAGTAGAAGGTTGATCAAGTGAGTTAACCGATATTGGCCAATAAACTTTTAATAGATTATGAGAGTAAATTGTACTAACAAGTAATGTTTAATTCTCATTAAATATATCTAATTAATCTTGTTTAATACATAATAAACAAAGTATCAAATGAAAAAGTAGGTATACCTAATATTTTGATGTTACAGAAAGCATTTAATATTTTTTATTTTAGAATTATGATGATTGATTAAGGGGATACGAAATTATTCTTTCATTCATATATCTTTGTCATGTAATTCTTTTAAAATTAGTTTCTAATTATTACAATAATACATTATTAAAAAATAACAAATTTCCCACTTATAATGCCCCAAATTTAAACTCATGTAAGAATATATAAGTTACATATGGTATAGAAGAAAAGGAAACGGGGTTCGGTGCGTAAAGATCAAGGCAAATTGCTATCTCAAGCTGTTCAGCGTCACTTCGTTGAATTTTGTTTGAGCTTTGAAGACGATATCTGAATTCCCCAAACTTTAAGTTGGGATATGGTCATCCTGATAAGGACTTTATACCAATAACATTCGGAGTACTGAAAAATTATTTAGCGGACTTTGAAAAAAATGTTATGATTTTACTCAATGGACTGCATTTAAATTTTATTATTGTTGAGCCACATAAGTTCAGATAAAGCCACACAGCAGTTTGGGTAAAATTTATGTAGTACCAGGATGGACCAATAAAATATTTTATGAGTTCAACATTTGAGTTTTTGCTATGAAGAATATTTCTTATCACACTCGTATAAAAATGAATGACTTTTATTGTAAAAAAAGAAAAAGAAAAAATTTGTGAAATCTATTCACTTTATATGAATGTGATAGGAAAATATTCTCTATAGCAAAAATAAAATTATTTTTCCCATATATTCATAAAAAGGTATTGGAGAAAAGCCGATTTTGAAATAGGTTTGTGTAAATAATTATTTAAATAAAAAATTTTAAGGTGTTGAACGAAGGCTTTTTTAATGGTTTATATTATTCTCTAACATACTCCCTCACATAAAAGTCCTTTGGATTTGAAGTGTGTATATTACATAAGTCCAATTTTTTTGGTTTAGCTTGTGCTTATTTTAATTCCATGTGAAGAAAATAAGAATTGAACTCCTGAAGGTTTTGAGTTGAATTAATTATTCATATAGAAATTATTGGATCCTTGGCCTAAATAAATAAATATATGTTTAGCAATTCAGAGAGAGAGAGCAACGAAGCATTCCTTACAAGAAGCAAATAAATTGCAACAAGAGTAGCATAAATTGAACAAGACCAATTTTTTTACCAGATTAATAGACAAAATTGCAATAATTTGTACATGGTGGACATGGAAAAATGATGACACCTGAACTATCTAAAATTTTCTTTAGGTGAGACCTGTATTAATTTACTTTTTACTTGTTTAATAAACAAACCAACCAAAAAACCAAGGAGGTATGAAGGTTCTTTCAAACTTGTTATCGATTACCAAACACAACAAACACATCACAGTCTACTAAACCTTCGAAAGAGACAGCAAAACAAAGAAAATTATTCCTTCTCTTTTAATTCAGGAAAATCCAGCTCAAGCTTCTTAGCAACAATCCCATTCCTCATTTCCTTTATGTCCAATTGTGTCTGTAAATTTCTTCTAAAAACACTCCAATGGCTAGGAAACACAGAAAACTCTTTCCTGCAGAAACTACCACAAACCAAACCCAAGACTGTTATGGTTTTTGTGACCCAGCATGCCCTTACAACTGCTACTCTAACCCAAACTACTACTTTTATCCACCACCACCATCTATTTCAGCTTCTGAACACTCAAGCCAAGTTAACCATATCTCCTCCTACTTAATCATCCTCGTTTCTATATTCACAGTCATATTTGTTGTTGTTGGTTTCTATGTGATCAAAATAAAGTGCTATGCTGACTGGTGTGGCTGGAGAGTCAACGGATCAGTTCCCTCTCAGCAATCAGAAAACTCTGATGAGCTTCTCAATGAGAACCAAGTGGATCACCCTGTGTGGCTCATCTCCACAGTTGGTTTACAACAATCAATCATAAATTCCATTACAGTGTGTAAGTACAAAAAGGATGAGGGGTTGATTGAAGGAACCGAGTGTTCTGTGTGTTTGAACGAGTTCAGAGAAGATGAAACCTTAAGGCTCTTGCCAAAGTGCAACCATGCTTTTCACATCCCTTGTATTGACACTTGGTTGAGATCTCATACCAATTGTCCTCTTTGCCGAGCCGGTATTGTCTCTAACAATGTTATTCCTGAAGCAGCCATGTCAAATTTGGCTTCAATGGAGCAAGAAAATACCAACTTGGGAAGAAATCAAGAGACCCTGATAGAGAATTCAAGGAATGATACTGGATTAAGCAACAATATGGTTATCACTGGAGCCTCTGAAAACATAGCTGGAACTGGGGAAGCAAGTGAAGAAGTAGAATTCACTGATGAATCAAATTCCAAGGAGCGAGTGAATGTTGATAGATGTCATGTTCAAGAGGTGCTCAATGATCAAAATCAGAGTCCTGTGGTTCAAAATGATGAGATACAAACAGAGGTGAAGTCTGTTTCACCTGAAAGCCACCACGTTGTTGGTCATACACAGGATTACACTGAGTTTCACACGGTTGATGGTTATTACTCAAAAATGTGGAAAACAATGCGTCGTGCCTCAATTGAAGAGAGTTTACACATAAGCCCGGTCTCTATGAAAAGGTCATTCTCCTGCAATGGAAGGATTCTATGTACGAGAGGTTACATGAGTCTAAACTCAACTTATCCCTATTAGAATTTTCAATTTATTAAAGATTAACATAGTCATTGCATGCCGTTAGATATCAGTATTCAGTAACATGATGTCCTTTGTACTATTAGCATGGCTTTGGGGGCACCCTTATTGTTTCCATGACCGGTTAGGTTGGACATCGACAAGGTATAAACAGTCAATGGTGAAACAGAAAGAGATCAATTTTAATGAAGTTTTGCTTCTAAAGAATAAAATGTTATATTATTTGAAGTTTTGCCAAGTTCTGGGGACATATGAAAAATAACTCTGCTATATGCATTTATCACAAACCACAATGTTCAGTGCCAATGCAGAAAGGTTTAATCCCACGACAAGGAATGAGGTACATTTAAAAGAGTTCAGTACTCTTATCTTTTGCTTTTGCAAGCTTTAAATTGCGGCTGGTCGCGGTCATATTGCATGCACTGTGAGCCTATGAAGCACCGACACTTCAAAATTTCTCACGTATCGTGTTCAACACTTTCCGACACTTCAATACTCGTTACAAAGACTCAAAAAATGTTCAAAGGTTACGTTGCGTTGCATTCTGAGTTTTAACAATTAGATTCGTTGGATTACGATTACTATTTTATTGAGTTTAAATCAAATATTTGGAATATCTTATGTTTCTTTGCAAAATTGATCGATATTATAAGTTTAGCTTTATTTTTTTTGTTAGATTATTGAATATTAAATATAATATACACTACATAAATTAAAAATATTATATAATATCAAAACGTGTCTTAACATGTCAAAATTTAACATTTTTTAAAATTAACGTGTCAGAGTGTTGTGTCGTGTCGTATCCCGTGTCCCGTGTCGGTGTCCGTGCAACATAGTTGTAAGCTGAATCAAGCTAATTGCTGTCGATCCGATGGATGCAGCTGCAGCCGCTGCAACTTTTATCTTTTTCCTTTTTTTTTTTTCTTTGTACTTTTTATTTGGGTAGCAACTCTAATTATTTTGAAATAAAGGTGGTGTTATGTAGAGTTATCTAAGGTAGTGTTTGGTTGAGGAGTTTGCCATTGTTTCCCATCAAAGTGATTCTTAGATACTTGGTTGTCCAAGTTTGGTTCACTGATTTCATGTTTGTTACCCATCAATGTCACTTCCCTAGCAAACCGGTTTGTGTGTTAAAAAGCATGAGTTTCACTATTGAAGAAAGCAATTGAGAAGGTGGTATTCAGTAAAAAATCGGAGAAGTTATTAAAGTATAAGAATACAATAACACAATTACCCATCACACAATGTATTATGTACACACAATGGAGACTCACTTTTAAAAACAGTAAAAGAAAAAAAAGGGTACTTTAGTATTTTCATACAATTTTCCCATCAATATTCTATCTTCAACCAAACATACACTCAAAAAATTTAACCCAATTTTTCCGATAAACTTTTGGCGAACCAAACAATTTTTTTTACATTTTCCTACCAGAATCACTTTCCTACTATATTCCTACTCATTCTATTTCCCTAGTAAAAAAAAATTTCTCCTAAACCAAACCCCCGATAAAAAAATAGACAGATACAAAGATATTCAATAGGTATGCTGTCAAAATTTGTGGAAACTTATTTGATTTATTTGCATTTATCTCTTTCTTCGCATAATCTTTTCATATGAATATCTCGATACGAAAAGATCGAATCCCAATAAATAATAATTTCCTTCACATATATTGGAAGAAATTTGTAGTATTACAGGAGGTCTTGCTCCTATTTTTTTTAAGGAAAATACTTTTCTTATGTTGTAAGAAAATAGTTACCTTATGTTGTAGAAAATAAAATTATAAGTGAGACTCACATGTAAGAGGAGAGAGACAAAAAAAGTAGTGGAATCTATCTCTCTTTTGTGTGTGTAAAAAAATTATTTATCTCATGTCAAATAAGATAAATATAACCTTTTTTTAAATATTGTACGTGATGCAATAGTTTTAGTTATTAAAGTAGTATATTACTTTCTACCAAAAAAAAAGTAGTAGTATATTACCAAATAAAGAAAACACAATAGAGTAGTATACTAGTAACATGGAAGTGTCTTGTTTAGCCAACATACTAGTAATACGTCACTAAATTTTGTTATGGATGGTATTATTATTTATTGGGAATCCAAATAGTGTAGTAAATTTTACAGTAGTAAAGGAGTGAATGGACCCATAAATCTAACATTAAGGTTTAAGGTTTTCAATCAAGATGCAGGGTCGAACTCACTTATTGTGATAGATTGTCGCTTAATCCATTCAATTGTAGTTCTTTCCTACATGGTCTCCCCTCCTTATCAAACTCTGGTCGAGCTCACTTGTTGACGCTTAACTCACATTGGTTAAAAATGGACTAAATGACAATCATAGGTTGACCCTTAAACCTAAGGTTTTAGGTTGAAATATGATATTGAGCTCACTTGTTATTGTCATTTAGTCCATTTGATTATAATTCTCTCCTACCATGACCTCCCATATTACCTATTAATACATTCATTCATTCATTCTCTTAGATTCATATATTTAATTGTTCCCTTTTTTTAGTTGGATATTAGTTAGAATCTTTCTTCTTACCCAAGAATTGTTGGTCTAGTGACAACTCAACTAGATCTTAGGATTTGACCTGCCCAAAGGATAGTGGATTTGATTTATGAGAATCGCAATTCTTGGGTAGGGTAGAGCTATGAAGCACCGATACGTCCAAAAATTTTTTTCCAACGTATCAGACACACGTCCCGGTAGCCAACTGTCGCGTCGCACCACCATAGACCCACCTCGAGCTCTTCCGCGTCGTTCGCGAACCAAAGCTCTGCGAACACCATCTTGCTAGTCTATTGGTCTTCTTAATCTTCCAGCTGCAACACATCACCACTGTGTTTTTTATCTTCCTTACCCAAAACTAGCCATCGATTGAGATGCTTGTAGGTTTTCAAGAAAGTAAAGATTAGATTTAGTGATGTGGATATTTTTTTAAAGAAATATTTGGCCATGTAGTTTGTTTCGGTGGGCTTGGTACACTATGCCCATTAATCTTGGGTTGTTATTTTTTTAAAGTAGTTATTTGTTGTGGTATAATATCATAAAATTAAAAAGACAAGTAATTACAATAAAACTAAATAAATAAAGCACCAAATTAAAATAAACAAATATGGATGTACAGAATGGGTGTTGTTTAGATTCTCATATTTTATACTCATGTTTAGTAAATAAACAAATACCTAAATAATGTGAAATACATTTATATATTAAAAATATTATTTAATACTAAGACGTACCGGAACGTATCAAAATATTAGTATTTTTGAAGTAACGTATCGATGTCCCATATCGAAAACATATCAAAAACGTCGTGTCGAAATCGGTGCTTCAAGGGGTGGAGAGCCACAAACCTGATACCGGATTAGTCGGGTCCGTTAGGACTTCAAACACCGGTTGATATTTACAAAAAAAAAAAGAGAAAAGCTTTTTAATATTGTTTTAAGCTAAAAAAAATTCTCTTTTTTAGATGTTTGAGGATTAAAATTGAATTGTTTATATATCGAGAAACCATCATTTTTACTCCTTTAAAAGTTTAACTTAGATGGTCAAAATTGGATATAAGAATAAGTAACTTACAAAATTTTAAGAGAAATAATGAGTTTATTTGATTCTAGTTCTTTTAAATGTGACCTAAAAATTTTATTTTCTGGGAATAGATCTTGCCTATGTAATTTAACATGACCATATTATATGAAATACTCTTAACTATTTATGGAAAGGTTAACAATGATAAGATATGAGAGAAAAAAATGTTATGATACGAAGTGACAGAAATGGTTAAGATTGATTATATAACATGATATAATCATGTTAAATAACTCATGAGAAAACCAATTCCCATTTTTTTAGTCATCAAGAGTGTAACCAAGCTAGGTTTAAGAGAAAAATGTGTTTAAACTTTAAACCACTGGGCATGGCATGGTTATAGCGGTTTGGAAAGGCAATTCAATTGGTAAGGGGAGCTTCAACTGGGTCGTTAGATGGCTATGATGTAAGTAATCCTACCATTTTGGAGTGTTTTTTTATAGGGTAAAGTGTGTGTCATTTTAAAGGATGTAAAGTTGTGTCATTTTAAGAGAGAGAAAGATATAGATAAAGAAAGAGAGAGAGTTGACAAAAAAAAATAAAGGTGTGGGTCCCACCTCTTTGTGAAAGTGAAAGGATATAAGTTGTGTCATTTAAAAGGATAAACATTTTTTCCTTTTTTATACTAAGAAATTCCATTCTTCGATGACATTTAATTTTTTCATTTCGTGATCGGATCATTTGAAGAGGCAAATGATGCCTTCCTTGATCAAAAGAAAAGGGTTTACGAAGAGTGTATGAACCTTTCTTGTCTAGAGTGATAGCTAAGGGTGGTCTTTTTTAGCCATCTCCTCTTTGCTCGCCATATTAATAGGGTGGGAGCGGGAGTTTTCATCTTCCCACGGGCAGAGCTAATGTTCTAACCAAGTTTAATGGGCCAGTTGAAGTGAAATGGCCTAAAGATGGCCACACAGTCTCTCATCCTTGTACGAAATGAGACATAACACCTAGTTGAGCTTCAGAGAAAACGTGACCATAGAGGGTAGGCCGGTGTTGTTGTTGAGGACTCATACTTTCTTGTGGTGTACCAACTAGAGGTTTGCTTAAGAAATAGGTTGTTAGAGATTGTTTCTTTTCACTATTTATGGGTATTTGAGGGGTAGTAACCATCTTAATTTTAATGGGCAAAGGGTGTTGTGCACCTGCAATGACTTCAGCGCTCAAGTCAGTGTTTGAATGTTATGGAGTTTTGTGTAGAGGAATGTGTGTGCTTGAGGTAAAGAGACAATGTCAATTTTGGTTGGAATGACCACAATAAGGATGCAAAAATGCCTGCTAGGAAGAACTTAATAAAATTACAAAATTATTTTACATATAAAAAAATTTTGCTATATTTTTTGTAAAATTTTCGTAAAATGTATCATACTTTTTTGCTTCCGAAAACAAGGGTCTGATGCACTGTCCATTTCAACGAGGAGCTAACTTTAGGAC